AAAAAAAAAACACTAAATAAAAAACGAAAAAAAAAATTTTTGGCAAAAACTTATTTCCGACGTATGTATGTATTTTTTTTGCATTGAGTTATTTTACTATTTCAGTTGATTGAAAATTTATTATTGTGATTCATGCGCCTGCAACTTAGCTATTAGCTATGTAAGCAATTGGGCAGTAAAATAGTGCGCCAAGACAAGTAATGCATCAAATGCCGAATTCGAAATTCGTGGAAACGAAAATGCACATAAATTTATTTATATAAGCAGTTTGTGTGGGTATTTGAAGGTGGGCTAGTTGCTATCTATGTGTATACTATATTTGATGTTTTTGTTTCATTCCTGCTATGACATTCAATCTATTAATAGAAGTAGAACACAAAGAAAAAATAATAACAAAATTAATGACAATGTAACTAAAGTTAGTTAATGGACTAAAGTTAGTTAAAATCACAAAATAGGAATATAATATAGAATAATAAATATACTAAAAATTTAAATAATATAAAAGAAACGGCATAAAATAAATAGGTTGATTCGAAGTTATAATACCCCTCAGAAATAAAAAAAAAGCTTTGCATACAAGCACTTGATTTGGAACGGTCAGTTTATATGGCAGTTATATAAATTTTTCGGAGAAAATAAAATATTGAGAGTATCATTCAATTCATATTTGTTTTCCGTTATTTTGCACACTGAAAACTTTTTAAATTTATTACGAAAATGTGTATACATACATTTATTTTCTACGCTTTAATTGTTAATTCTACTGTTTATTGCATGCAGCGACTCCAGCAGCGGTGGTAATCGCCTCGCGAGCAATATAATTGCTATATGGGCATTGCGGTTTACTTTCAAAAAATTATTGCGATAACCCAGTGAGCAAAAGAAACGAAACCCAGTGATACGAAGAGAAGAGAGATTATGCAATTTTGAAAAAAAATATATACATATACATAATTTTTATATGATTGAATTCATTTCTTTGTAAAGAATAAAGGAGAGATGTGCTCCACATTCAAATAACCATTCGCTAAACTTTTTTTTAGGTTACTTTTTTTTGATTAATAAATTTTATTATGGTGAACATTAATATTTTTGTTTACATTTCGAATGCACTTATGTATTTTAATGCTAAAAGGACAAGGTCGTTGTTTTTAACTTTTTCAACCATATACATATGTATGTATGAAGACAAAATACGCGTACAGTAAAAATGTCTGCAAAATATGAATTCTTCAAAAATTTTTGAATACAAAATAGACCTACTGTAAAAAATGTCTCAAAATTATGAAATATCCAACCATTTTTGCACTCAAAATCATAAAATAGACCAACAGTAAAAATCTTCTGAAAGTTTTGAATATTCCAACAATTTTCGGATACAAAACAGTCCGACTGTAAAAAATTTCTAAAAAATTTTGAAATATTCAGCTATTTTTGAACACAAAATAGACCGACAGTAAAAATTTTCTAAAAATGTAAAGTTTTCAACCATTTTCGAACACAAAATAGACAACTTACAAAAATTTTTCTGAAAAATATGAATTCTCCAACCATTTTTGAACTCAAATTAAACAAGTAACAAAACATTTCATAGAAATGTAATTTTTCAACCGTTTCCGAACATAACATAAACAACTAAAAAAAAACTCTGAAAATTTTGATTTTTCCAACACAAAGTAGACCAACAGTAAACAAATTTTGAAAATGTTGCTTTTTCTAAAGTTTTTTGAACACAAAATAGACAACTGACAAAAAAAAGCCAACAATGTTTGAACACAAAATAGACAACAAACAAAACTCAGAAAAATGTGAGTTTTTCAACCAATTTTGAACACAAAGTAGACCAACTGCAAAAAAAAATTCTGAAAAATTGATGGTAACTAAACACAAGACACGACATAGTATCTGAACACTAACAAATTCACACAAAACTAAATTATAATACAATTTTTACTTCGAAACAAATTTGTTTTTTGTGTATTTTGAACATTCGAAAGTGTCTCTTGCGCAGTTTTTTACAGAGATATCATTCTACTAAAAAATATTTTTTTCGTAATACGACTAACAATTCAAATAATTTCTTCATTTTCTTAAAAAAGTGATTTTTGCGGCTATAAACAGTTACGCTGATTCATTTGTATGTAAAATTTGTATGTAGATTTTATAAAACAAATGCCGGTAAAAGTGTGAAACATTTTTTTTTTTTTTTTTGTTTTGGTTTTTTTATTAACACACCTTTTCTTCCTACAATCTCTAATTAAATTTTTAACTGTAATTACTTTTAGTTTAACTTTTTTTTTTTTTGAATATAATGCATTTGTGAATTTTTAATACAAGCAAATTTTCGGTACACACCTTAAAGGTGTTTGTTCAAAGTCAATTAAATTTAGTATTTTTTCAATATTTTAGCAATACCAATTTTTGCATTTTTAATTTGCGATTTTGAAAACAAAAAAATGTCGAATTATGAAATGAGGTCAAGTTTGTAAAAAAGAAGCATAGCATGACGATCATTTCCTTCGCTTGTGCCCTTTGCAACTACAACTGTTTAATTGTATACCTGCTGGTTTTATTTTATGGTTGTTGCTTATTAGCCCTCGTGCACATACATAGCCATTTATACATGTGTGTGTGTGTGTGTGTACTGTAACTTATAGTTTATGCTGTTGTACTTTCAAGCATTTTCAATGGCAGATGAGTAAATAGTATATTATGAATTAAAAGCAAGCAAATAGAGTAATAAGGAATAAATAATGGAGCTGTGTCGTAAAATATTTTTAAGCATGACAAAGAAAATCGTCTGCGAATAAGAATGGGTAATGTTTGGAAAATTTTATTTTGAAAACAAAAAGATCAAACAAAAGCTTTCAGGCCTAAATGAAAGTCTCTTAAAATTTGAGTTATTGAATATTAGTTCAACTTGATTCATACTGAATGAGATTAGGAATATTAATAATAAAAAGTTCCTGTTACCACCTGCAGTTCCTGTTTATCCACTTGCAACTCAGAAAAAAGAAACATATTTTTGGAGATTTTTTTAACAGATGGTTTTTTTTTTTTTAATTTATTAAAGTTATTTACAATATTTTAATAATCGGTGATTGATTTGGTGGTATTTGGCATAATCCTGCTCTTGTAACCGACCTACAGGAAGACCTTCGAAAAACAGTGTTTGGCGGGGAAGATTTTTTCTTAAAATGATTGCAAATGCTAAAAAAAAATATTTTTACAAAGCTTAATGCAGATTGAAGGACTATTATATATATTTTTTTTTTTTAATTTACGACTTCCCAAAAAAAATCGCTGTTTGTGAAAATTTCACAGTGACGGAAAATTAAAACTAAAATTATAATTTTTTTTTTTTTTAATTTTATATTATGACACACCCTAATGCATTTGTAATAAAATGCGCACGTAATCAACAATACAAAACGAATTCGCAAAGTTCAAAGTCGATTTAAGCGCGCAAGCGTCATACGTACATACATACACATGCGCAAGCATAAATATTTATATTATTACATAATAAAACTATATCGCTTTTAACTTTTACTAGTCATATTCATAATTTTTACATATACACACATACGTATACACAAGCCTGCACTTGTTTTTTTTTTTTTTTAAGTTCATAAGTACCACCCAGTATTTCTCAAACCACATAAGCTAAAGTCCAACACTTACAACACACATACACACAGTCATAGCGCTTACTTTATAGCTACAATTTTTATAATGTTATTGCTTGGCAACTGTAGAAATTTCATGCAACTTTAAACAAAAAAATATATCTAAGCATTAATTAGCCAACTAAACTCACCCTTCTCCCAACAATTGGAAGTGTTTGTAGTGTGGAGCGCGTTTGTTTTACTTTTCCTCAGCTAATCCGCTTAGAAAATATTTATATTTTGCTTTACTTTGTATTTGCGTGTCACTATGGTTAGGTTTCTTTCTACTATACACGTACTTTCTTTCTCACTTTTTTAATTGAGAACTATTACGCTGTGGTTGTTTTTTTTTATCTTTTTGCCAAGCACTATTGTCTCACAGAATTTGTTTTTTTATTTGAATGTAGTTTTAAGCAAATAATATTGCCTTAATTGAGGTTTTATTAATCCGCAGACAGTCAGGCCCATATGTGTATGCTCATATGGGGGGTAGGTACATATGTATGTATGTATGTGGTAGACTATAAGAGAAGGTGATATATGCAAAATTTAATTATAATAATTAACAATATGTGCATGTATTGGCGCTAAATTTGTGTGTGTGTGTGTGTAAGTAAGAAGTGCGAAAAAGGTCACACGTGTCAGGGTTGCTTTTCTGTTCACTTAAGTACTTTAGTTAAGTTCAGTTTAATTCGCGAATGTTTTATGCAAATTTCTATCTAATTGATGAATTTGTTCGAAAAGTTTATCAAAGCTGTGACAGTGTAATCAGTCACTTTAAATACTTTGCATACAATTAAATTTCAATTTTAGAAACCAGTTAGCAAACATACACAAAAAATAAAGAGGTGGAATTTAAATTAAAATATGTCTGTTAGCATATTGTGCAAAAAATCGTTTAATATGACTCATGTGATCTTCACAGCTTTGGAGGGTTTTCCGATGCATTTACTAGCAGTTAGACGAGGTCTCTTGCACTGCCAAGCTTGATTGTCAGCGAGGTGATTAATCATCTTTGATTGCGTTTTATCAGTAAGTCGTAATATATTCATACATTGCAGTCAGAGTTTAGTTTATATGAAAATAAGAAGATGTGAGAATGCTTCAGATATGCATGGTAATATTTATGAAGTATCTTAGATCATTTAAATTAAAAAATAATAAGTTTTATAAATTTTTGTAATATTTTTGTCAAAAAACGTATGTACAAAATTATGTTATATTTAATATTAAGAGAAGCGAAAAATTGATATAAAACACTAATTTAGGTAAATTGAAAATGTTTAGTATTTAATTTAAAAATTTGTCCAAAATATTTTTTTTTTTTTTGCAAACATTTTTTTTATTGAAATAATTTTCTCAAAACATTTTCTAATGAAATAATTTTTTTTTTTTTTTTTCAAAACACTTTTTGATTAAGTAAATTTTTTTATCAAAACAACTTTTTCAGTGAAATATTTTTTTACGTATTGTAATGGAACTGGAATTGAAATAATTTTCTCAAAATCTTTTTTTAATGAAATAATTTTTTTTTTGTTCAAAACATTTTTTTAATTTAATATTTTTTCCAAACCATTTTTTTAATAAAATGAACTTTTTCAAAACAACTGTTTCAATGAAGCAATTTTTTTGAATTTTTTTCTTTTAAATAAACTTTAATTTTTATATTAATATAGTATAGATTCTATTTCGTTCCAACTAATTTTAATGTAATTATTTTTGATTTTTATTACAATTATTCATAAATAATTTTTGTTTTATTCATTATAATTTTTTTAATATAGTTGAAGTGCGTTCTAATTGCTTTTATAATTTATCTCCTCTAATAGTAATTATATTATAGTTTTCATTATGTTTATATGTTTAATAGGATTTGTAAATGCTTAGTATTTAATTTCAATTTTTTTTTTGTAAATTTTTTTAATGGGATAATGTTTTTTACACTAATTTTAAAAGAAATAATTCTTTTATACTTTTTTTTCGAATTTAAATA